AGGGAGCCGCGCGGGTGCGGGCCCTTTGCTTCCACAGGGCCTTGCCCGGGGGAGACGCGCCATCAGTGCAGATAGACACCGCATTTTCGGAGTCAATTGTCTTTCGCTGGAGCGTAATTTACTAGCCAGGGCCTTCCGTGTGGTCAGCGGTAGCGCAGCCTGAGTATATGTTTGGAATCGCGTTCATGTCCTTTTAATTCTGAGAGGTCCGTTTAAATTAGGGACCTCAAAAATTCGAGCCTGCAGTGACAGCTGTTGCATACGTGCATGATTCAGCTGAAATGAAGTGTTTTGTGTTTTATTCTTTTGAAAGTAAAAATACTGGCACGATTTTTATTCCTAATAAATACCAGTGGTGCATACTAAAATATTGAAGTTTCCGGCACAATGTTATTCCTGTACAATTCAGTTTGTAGCCTTAGTTCAGAAAATAAGTTTATTGAATTCCTGTCTTGGCACTTTCATCCTTTGGCCATAAATTATAATGCCTTGCTGCTGTAGATAGGTCTCCAGGAAATGCTTAAATGCCAGTTTCTTGCTATACACTCTTGCCAGCTGCAAAGATTCGTAAAGAGCCCCTGTCCCTGTCCTTAAGGACCTGTTAGAGGGCATTTATTCCAGCTGATTTCTAAATTTTTCGTGTGGTGCATGGTTCAAAAATATAACAATTCATTACAAATTTTGTTTCTCCTTTAAGTGTTATGACACTATGTAATACTTGATGCAAATAGCAAACAAATGGTAGCTCCTTCCTCTGATTCACGCATCCTTGAGAATTTATTTAGGTAAGGTGTAGTGCCATAGCACCTCTTGCCAGGAGGTGACCCTAAAGTTGGATATGCTTCCCTAAGAGAGAATCTGTAAGTGGTAGAGAGAGGTGTCCTGAAACTAGGCCAGATCTTCAGCCAATAATCCTAAAGGGATTTTTGGAGAAGCCTGTCTTTTCTTCATTGACTGTTGATCACCTAATGGGAACGAGGCCCTGTAGCCCTGGTTCTCTACCTGTGGGTCGTGACCCTTTTGGGGGTTGAACGACCCTTTCACAGGGGTCGCCCAATTCATAACAGTAGCAAAATTATAGTTATGAAGTAGCCACGAAAATAACTTTATGGTTGGGGGGGTCACCACAACATGAGGAACCGTATGAAAGAGTCACAGCATTAGGAAGGTGGAGAACCACTGCCCTATAGGAAGACTTTCATCTCTCCTATTCACAATAATCCACCAAAGTTATTGCATCAGAGGTTTAATTCATATTTGGCAAGTCATTCTACCTTTGTGACTTGGGTAAGTTACTGAGCCTTTGTTTACCACAGTTTCCTCTAGCATAAAGTGGCTTTAATATTAATATATCTCATAGTTTCTGATGACTTAATGAGTTTGTGTGTGTAAAACATTTAGAACTATGGCTCTTGGGAGTGATGATTGTGAAAATATTCATTGTATCATCAGAATCACTAGCAAATTAATTATCAAGGAAATTGAATGCCAGACATAGTGTCTTTTTGTTTGTTTATTTTTTTATTTCAGTGCCAAAGACCTTTTGGACTATTGGTCTTTTAATGAATTAAAATATTGGCCTTTTTTTTCCCCAAGAGGTGTCAAGTTTAATCCGATAGCTCGTTTCGTGTTTGGGGGACCACCAATCCCCAACATTTCCTGTTACCCGTCCTGCTGACCCCTCCCAGCCAGTGACCTCTAGGGCCAGGGGCCAGGAAGAAAGAGATGAGGCTCTGAGAATTCCAGGTCTGGGGTGACCGGCTTCCTTACCCATGCCCCCATCCCCCATGAGGCCTGTCAGTGGTTGGTGGGTGCTGTGGCAGCAGGGCAGCTGCAGTCCTTGGAAGGGGGTTCATGTGGAGGAAGCCCCTTGGCAGGGACTGTGCAGTAACTCGGAGGCACGGCCAGGCAGGACAGCTTCTGACTGGCGTCACGGGCTCCTCACCAGGGCCCTGTACAGGGAGAAGCTGAGCACGGTGGCCAGCGCAGCCCTGGCAGGCCCCAGCAGCAGCCTCAGCCAGGAAGACGTGTGCAGCTCTGTGTGGCCAGGTGTCTGCAGAGAGAGAGAGAGAGGACAGCCTCATCTGGCAAGACCCCAGCCCATAAAATATTGGTCTTTCAATGAATTAAAATACTTGAAAGAACTTTGGTATTATTTATGAGGATTATGTACTTCCAGTAATACTTGGGCCCAGAAAATCGGGGAGGGAAAAAAGAGTATTCAGAGCTCTGTACATTTTAATAATATTATTTGAAGCCAAAACCCAGCCCTAGTTTTGCTGTCCATTGTAATGGGAAGACTAAAATTTCTCTCCCTGTTAGATATTTAGAGTCATAAATTATATCTGGCATTACTTAACACCTGTCGTTACCCTTTTAGACTTGAGTACGTGGTCCCCCCCTCTTCCATCTTAACTTTAGAATCTTTCCATTTTTCTTGGTCTACATGTTACCCTTTTTCAAATTGCCCTGTAGTCCATCTCCATGTTAATCTTCTGAATTGTGTATCAGAACCACACATTGACTCTTTAAATTCCAACATTGAGTATTATCTGCCACATGTTTAAAAACTGACCGTTTAGTGTTTCAGAGAGGCAACCATGCTGTTTTAAGGATGTGGCCGTTAGAAGTTGGTGAGGATATTGCAGATAGATATTTCACATCATAGGATTATTTTAATATCCAACTGCACATTAAAACCTGTTATGAGTTCACCGACTTCATTAGCGTTTATCTACCACCCACGTTGCTTTTGTTATAAAACTGTATTTCCAATACTGTTCCATAGTTTTGTTAGTACTTAAAGCAAAATGAAATGAAAACATGTATTTTATATTCATAATAAAGGCTCAGCCAAATACTTGTGCATGCAAAGCACAAGTGAGTACTTGTTTTGTTTGATGTCAGTGTTTCTTCCTTGCATCCCCATCTGCAAGAAAAGCGCAAAGGAAGGAGGCAGACATTGCCCGTAGTGGTATTGTATTTTTGTGTTTGCTGCTTAAAAAGTGATGTGTTTTTGTGGTTGTAGAATTGAAGTATAAAATTTAACTCTTTCTGAAGAGTAAAACTACTACATAAGGAATGTCACTTAAGTAATGTCATTTAGTTTATTGCCATGGATGGGCTATAGAATCTCACTTTATTTCCCATTCCAATTTAGAATCTTAGTGAGTTGCTAGTGTTTCTTAAAATGGATTAGGTGGGGCAGTATACTTGTTTTACATCTCCATATTAGGGACCCTGGTAGTGTAGTGGCCATTGGTCTGTGATCCCCATGGTGGGCAGTTTGAAACCAGCAGCAGCTCCATGGGAGAAAGACTGCACTTTCTACTTCCTTACCAGTGACAGTCTCGGAAACCCACAGGGAGTCACTATGAGTCAGCACTGACTTGATGACAGTGCGTTTGGTTTGGGTTTTTTATCTTGCTGCCAGCAGATTACAGGTTACAGATAATCTCCACAATACACTTCAAAAAAAGTAGTTACTTAAGAATGGCAGTGGAGAGATTTTCTTGATGGTTAGTGCAACCTTCGCTTTTGAGTTCTCCAATATTAAGGTTTATAAAAGAGTCATAAATCCAGCAGTGCTAATGTAAATCTAATAAAAG